GGAGGAGGGGGAGGAGGAGGAGGAGGAGGGGAAGGAAGAGGAGGAAGAAGAAGGAAAAAAAGGGAGGTTGATAAAAACAAATCAAAACCCCCCAAACAAACAAGACTTCAAACAGGAGGTCAGGTGATACTTGTTTTCAAAATCAAGTGTCTCAGCATACACCTACTAGGTATAAAGATTTATGTTATAAACTACCAATTCCTAATTAGTAATAACAGTGAGGTAATCCCAAGCTACAGGCTTCTAAATGGATTACTGGTAACTTTCTGGACTCTGAATAGTCATTCAAAGCAAATAATATCACTCTGAACAACCTTGTGATTTTCCATGAAATCTTTCTTACTCCTAAAGCAAAACAGATATTCACAATTTATAAAAACAATTTGTCAATAAAAATCATCTACCAGCTTACCAACAGGTTAAGGAACATTCTAACCACCGAAGGAATGTAAATCAAACCTGAATTTAAGTTCTAGGTGATGACTGTATATTTTTAAAAGGATCATATTTTAACAATTGGAAATGAGTTTCTTTCATACACCATGAGTAATTTCTTATCACCACTTAAAGAGATATTTAACTTAACACACATTTAAAGTTCTTCAAACGTCTTTCCATTAAATTTCAATCATTAAGTGTCTAGTGAGTTCTATGGGTAGGCAGGTAGTAGCAGCTAGAGATAAAAAACTCAAAACAACAATTTTCATCTCAAGGAGCTTGGGGTCCAGCAGAAAGAAAGAGAACAAGTAACTGAGGTCCTTAGAGGAAGCTGGTGTAGGGTGTGTTCAACAGGTGCAGAATAAACCCTGAATAAAGAGCTCTGCGGTGAGTGCTGAAGGCGGATAAGCAGAGGAGAGGAGCGGGGCTGGAGGTGGGAAGCCAACAGCCATGTTGGAGCAGCTGACTGGATGCCATGGTTAGACCATGTGTTAAACTCAGTCCCCAGGCCCCTGGCACTGCTGGGAAGTGGCAGAACCTTTAAGAGGTGGAACCTAGAGGCAGGTCTTCTGGTCATTGAGGAAATGCCCTTGAAGAGGATAGTGGAACCCCACCCCCTTCCTCTTTCATGTCCCAACCATGAGGTGAACAGACATGGCATGCTACCACCATGGCTGCCTTACCATAGGCCCAAAACCAAGGGGGTCAATGATTATAGACTCAAATTCCAAAACTGTGAGATAGAACAGACCTTTTCTCTTTATGAGCTGATCATCTCAGACATTTGTTATAGTAACAGAAATACAGACTGGTACACTAGACTTCCCCGAAATCTCCCCGTGTCACTCCAGGGTCTTGCTCTTTGTTATGTGATATAGAGACTGTCTGCATTTAAAACTCCTATGTCTAATCAAGTATTTTCTTTGACACTTAGATTTTGATGTCTTCTCACCTGCCTATTTTTCCTTTCAGCTAACGCCTGCACAGATGAAGTTGACATCTGATCCTTCATGTCCTAATGAGACAAAGAGAAGAACAAAAAGTGAATGAAAAATACTTTTAGCAAAATACATATAGTTCATTATTATGTTTTTTTTAAACAAAAACCTTTTATTTTCAGCCTCAACAATAAAGGAAATAAAGAGACATTCCCTTAAAAAGAGGTAACCTGAAAAATAAACTTAAATAGGAGCAAAGAGGAAGGGAACTAACTTTTACTGGGTTCCTACAACAGGCCAGAAGCAGCTCTCACTGAATTTTCTCAACAACCCTGTGAAGCAGGTGTTATCACCACTTTCAGGTTGAGGAGACCCAGATCTAGAAAGACACGTGCAACTCTGAAAAGCTGCACAGCCAGTGAATGGTGTCTCTGAGGCACACAAACACCTGTGCTCAAGGACTAGCACCCTTTAAAAAAAAAAAAAAAAAAAACATAAAAAATCATGAAGAATATTTATTGTTTTCAAACACAGAACATTTTCATATTCACATTTCTTTTCTTTCTTTTTTTGGTCCTGGGGACTGAATGCAGGGGCATTCACCACTGAGCTGCCTCCCCACCCCCTTTTAGGTTGAGGCATAGTCATGCTAGGTTGCTGAGGCTGACCTCGAACTTGCAGACCTCCTGCCTCAGTGCCTCTGCAGCTGGCATTGCAGGCATGCTCGCTTACCCAGCTCACTTATTTCTGAGTTAAAAGGAAGTACAGACTATTTCTAACCAGAATGAGTTTCCACAGTGGCATCAAAAGTAATTTTGTATGGAAAGAAAAATAAATGTATTATTAAATCTGGAGCAAAATACTTTATTAAATATAAACCATTTTGCTTTTCACACTTAACCATTACCTGATATACAATAAAATGATTTAAAATAGGATGACTACAATTTTCTTTTTTTAAAAAAGGCTGTCATGATACATTATACTTTCTGTTGGCAAGTAGATTATTTTTGTAGATTATTTTTATAGATGCACATGTTAAGGTATTGATTTTTTTTTTTTTTTTTTTTTTGTACTAGGGATTGAACTCAGAGGCACTCGGCCACTGAGTCACATCCCCAGCCTTATTTTGTATTTTATTTAGAGACAGGGTCTCACTGAGTTGCTTAGCACTTCACTTTTGCTGAGGCTGGCTTTGAACTCGCGATCCTCCTATCTCAGCCTCCTGAGCCACTGCGCCTAGTAAGGTATTTGATTTTGATGGAAACTTCTTCCATGACCCACGGTAAGTGAATGGTAGACGAGATGGTACCATGGCTTTTATGATTCTTACTACGGTAAAACTGCCTTCTTTCAACTTTCAAAGCTCATACTCATTCATTCTCAAATATGCATGCCTCTGATACACGCCAGGCATACAGCAGTGAATGACACAGTGAGGCCCCGTTCTGTTTCCGTGGAGCCGCATGGTGACTTCCCTGAGTCAGGCACCTCAGGTGCTGTTAAAAATGCAGTTCTCTAAGGCCCCACCCACCCAGACCTACCAAGTCAGACTCTTCAGGGTGAGGTCTAAACTGGCCCCTGTGGTCTACACAAAAGCTAGATGCCTCAAAGTGAGAGGATCAGACAAACTAGTATCTCCTGGATACCCTCTCAATTTATCAATTAAATGAACAGTTTAAGATAACATTCTGGTATCCAAACAAAAAATTCCATTCATTTACTATACATTAGTAACTATTAAAAAAATATCTGAGAAGTTCACTAGGGAGATAATACAAGCTTTTTAAAATGTGCCCAATGCATTGTACCATACTTTCTTAAAAAAAAAAAATGTGTGTGTAAAAAGTAGTATCTGAGTCTCTGAACGCCGCATATGGAATGTACTCTTGCTGTCAGAGGTCAGGAGGCAAGGGGACGTGGCGACGGTACTGGAGCACCAGGCAGCTGCCGGGGTGCTGGCAGCCCTGAGACGCTCTGGGTACTGCTCAACAAATTCACCAAGCTGTACACGTAGGTACCTGAACTTTTCCTGTTATATTTTAATTAAAATGTCTTTTTAAAATATACTGCTCCCAAACAATGACGGTAAACAGGACCAACTCTTTAAAAATAAAATTTTCACTTTGTTTGAAGAGCCCCCAAACAGTCACTGCCTTGACTCACAAATTCCACTAACAGAAATGTACTTTAAGGAAATAACATCAAATATATACCAAAAGAGACGTGCAAAAACGTGTGATGCTATGTTATTTATAATATAGAGCTAGAACTAAGCAGCATATCCAAATAAGGGAACAGCAACTTATACTATATAGTATCATATACTAGACAGTATGCTTATGAAGAGTCCTGGAACGAGACAGCACACAAATGACCAAACATGAGAAAAGAACCACTTCTAATCTAAGGGCAACCAGAGATACATTCCCTAATTCCAGGAGGAAAGAAGAAAAAGCCTAGTAATACTTAGTGTTGGTGAAATATGGAAGCTGGGGGCAGGGGCACATGCCTGTAATCCCAGTAGCTTAGGAGGCTGACACAGGAGGATCCAAAAGCCAAAGCCAGCCTCAGCAAAAGCAAGGCACTAAGTAACTCTGTGAGACCCTGTCTCTGAATACAATACAAACTAGGGCTTGGAATGTGGCTCGGTGGTAGAGTGCCCCGAGTGCCCCAATACCCCGGCCCAAAAAAGGAAAAATGGAGCTAGGCATAGTGGCCGGTAATCCCAGCCGCTCAGGAGGCTGAGGCAGGAGGATCACAAATTTAAAGCCAGCCTTAAGAACTCAGTGAGACCCTGTCTCAAAATAGAAATAAAAAGGGCTAGGGATGTGGCTCAGTGGTAAAGTACCTCTGGATTCAATCCCCAGTACCTCAAAATAAAGAAATAAAGTCTTCTGAATTGGGAGCGTAGCTCAGTGCTTGCTCAGCATGCACAAGGCCCGAGGTTCATTCTCCCTCCTATGAAGTCTTACCATAGATACCAAAAAAAATATTAACCAAATATTAACCACATTTAAAATGTGTCTTCTCATTGAATTCCTTACTACTTAAACAAATATCTAGGTTATGCTCACAGAGATAGTTACTGAAGTAAGGTTTGCAACTGTTAAAGATTAACAATTAAAGTATCTACTGGTGGGTCAATAGTTAAATAAATCATAACAGAACCAGATTAGAGAAGAGGTTAGCAGCAGGGTCTTTCATGCCCAAAACTTAGGTTCAAAAACTGGTAATGCAGAGAATATCATGCTAAATGAAATAAGCCTAAAACCAAGAGCCAAATGTGTTCTCTGATAAGTGAATGCTGGTCCATAGTGGGGTGGGGGGATAAGGAAGAATAAAGGAACTTTGGTTTGTGTAGAAGGGAGTCAGGGGAGGGGTGGGGTTGTGGGGATGGGAAGAACAGTAGAAAGACACACATTATTACCCTGTATACATGGATGATTACACTAGTGGAGTGACTGAACCATGTACAGCCAAGGAAATTGAAATCGTGCTCCATTTGTATTCTATATGTCAAAATGCATTCTATTATTACAAATTAATTTTTAAATAAAGATAATAGCTGTGCTAAATTGGGCAAATTTCTCAATTTCTCTCTTTCTTTTCCATTAATGGAATAATATCATTTTATACAATCACTGTGGGAATTAATAAAGACATGAAGGATGATTAATAACAGTGGTCAAAAATCTAGTAAACACTCAAGTAAATACTATCATGTAAAAGGAAACAACCATGAAAGGGGGTTATCTAAATCTGCAGCCACTGAGCCCTGAAATGGAGTCAGTAAAATTGAGAAATTAAAATGGATTTATTTTAATTAACTAGAACTTAAATTCAGTTACTGGAAAACTTCTATTCATGTTTGGAAAAAACTGGGTTTGTGACTCTCACTGTAAATTTTATAGATGCTCTCTACAGATGAAGTTCTTCCAATGAAAATCTCACATCTGAATTGACATGTGCTTAAGTGTAAGATACACGCCAGATTAAGCAGTCGTGGTATAAAAAGTTTAAAAGACTTCAATCTCTCATTAATGTTTCTTAAGATTGATTACATGTTCAAATGAAACCTTCTTGATAATAGGTTAAGTAAAATATACTTTACTTGTTTCTTTTCCTTTTTCATGTGGCTACTAGAAATGAAAATGCTTAACACTGAATAATAAGGTCACAACTACGAGAAACACTGCCAGCCAGCACTGAGGAAAGTGACTGACGTGCTGTTAGTTATCATTTCACATTTCAGTTTCTTTTTCTATTTTATCCTCTTGCAAAATTGTTCTAATTCTTTAATGAACATGCATTACTTTAATGAAATACATATTTTAAAGGTGCAATTCTAAAGTTTTCTGCTTAATAAAAACCTGTGATTGTGTTTGTGTGTGTGTGTCTGTGTGTGTGTGTGTGTGTGTGTGTGTGTGTGTGTGTGGCCACGGCTGCCGGTAAAGGGCTAAGTTTTAAGGACAGCACTTTATGTAGGTTAGAGTTGCCAGATACCACATTACGGATCACCTTCACACTGGGATGTGGAATTCTCAGCTATGTTACTAAACAGTTTTCAACATTTGGTAACAACCTATCATGCCAAAAACATAATTACTCATCTTCTTCCTAACACATGAAGTTTAGAACCAGCAGTCAAAAGCGGTTATTCCCAATAAAATATGGTTCATTTGCCAAAAGAACAACCAATGTCCTGATCATGTTCCTGATTCCCTCCACGCTGTCTTCCAAGCAGAACCAGAGGCCGCATGAGTCCCAGTGCTCCCCACTCCTGGGCCTCCCGACCCAACATCATGTGCACACAGACATCTTATGCTTTCTGATTAACCAATGTCACTTCTTCTTGACTTACAACTGTAAACTAAACATTTCTTGGGTTGGAATAGATATTGGGGAGGGAGGTGGAAAGAGCAGGGCAATCTGAATCCCTTTGAAAGTTAAAGTTGGAGAAATTAGTGAGGCTCATTTCATTATTAAAACTGAGATCCAAAGAGACTGACTGATTTACTCTGTTTAAAATTTATTAACGTCACAACTTAACCTAGAACTTAGATTCCCTGACCACTTATTCATTATTGTTCTGCCATATACTGCAAAATTCACTACTAAACTGGAGTCAATTCTGGAATATATTTTCAAAACACAAAAATTTCACATGTGAAATCTCATATATATAGATGACTCCACAAATAAAAAATGATTACATCAAATATATAAAGCCTATTTACATAAAACTAGAATATTTTGCTTTCTTCTTTTTTATTTCTATTTTTTGTGTGGCGCTGGGGAGTGAACCCAGTACTCTATCACTAAACTACAGCCCCAGCCCAAGTACTTTATTTTCTTCAGTAAAAGCTGCCACCAAAATTTAATAAAGACTTCACAATAGGCTGGGGTTGTGGCTCACGGGTAGAGTGCTTGCCTAGCATGCACGAGGCACTGGGTTCAATCCTCAGCACCACATAAATGTAAAATAAAGATATTGTGTCCACCTAAAACTTAAGAAAAAATATTTTTAAAAAAACTTCACAATCTTAAATGATGTGTGGAAGAACATTCGCAACAAGACTTTTTAAACAAACACTGTTTAGCTGAGTATGTTTCTTGTTTTTGTTTTTACTCCCATTAGCATTGTTGCTGCTTCCTTTTCCTACAGATTTTCAAAATCAAATATTGACTTTAAAATCAAATCAGCAGAAGCTCAGTTAGGTACTGTTACCCCACCACTGGCAAATACTGACACTTCAGCCAGGCACTGTGGCAGGCAGCTGTAATCTCAGCTGCTCGGGAGGCTGAGACAAGAGGAGTGCAAACTCAAGGCCAACTTGGACAATTCAGTGAGAGCCTTCCACAGGATAAATTTTCTGTTTTTTTGTTTTAAGGGCTGGGATATAGCTCCGAGGCAAAATGCTCCTGGGTTCAATCCCTGGGGGGGCGGGGGGGGGGGAAATCCAAACTAACAGCTTCTCCAAAATTAAAATTAAATTTTAAATTTAATATATTAAAACAAGAACCATTAAAAACCTAAAGCAGTCAGTTAGATCACATAGTTGAGGGTGATTTAGATCTCAACTCCAGAAGGACAGCAACATTTTGAACTACTGATGTGATTTATAAGACTAAGATTAGACTTTTAAAAAACTTCGAATATTAGAAAATGAACTTTGGATTCTACTTCCAATTATACCAACTACCTTAACTTTCAAAATATGAACCAATGAATTCCAATTTTCAAAATTCACAGTAATATCTCTCAGAAATAAAAATATAATATCCAAGTAGAGATCATACACTTCATTTCGAGGCACCATTTAATATTACAGATGTGGTCCATGGAAAACAGAAAAGAAGAAAGACAAAAAGAAAGAAAAGAATGCTGTATTTATTTTTAAAAACTGAGGAACTGTATAAAAAGATACATCACTTAACAACAGGGCTTCCTTATCAGAATATTATTTCAAACTGGCTAGAAATTAGGAGTGTCTAATCCAAACCTTCATTCTCTAAAGGAGACACTTGAAGTCCAGACACACTTCTGCCCCTTTAAAATATGGACTTTGTTTACAAGCAATTTAGGTTTAAGTATATGGAAAGACAACTACTGAATAAAACAAAAAACAATATCCAAAGTTCAGTGATAACCTCCCATTTGATAACATGAAGAGGAAATCACGTGGCAGAGAGTCCTTGGCAAATGTGTACCAGGTTCTTGCCATATGTTAGCACTGGTCTGATCCCAAGTCTTTTTATTCAAGGAAGCTGCTTTCTAGTACATATGTTAAAGACAGCTGGTTCTCTTACATCTAGTTATGCTAATCAAATGGCTTAGCCATATAGTTTCAAGATACAAAACCTATCTTAATGATGCAAGACTTAAACCACATTCTCTTATTGATTCTTTAATAATGGGTATTATTCTTAATAACTTGGGGATAAAGATTTGACCACTTGACTGGTTCTTTTTACATGCTGAGACACTTGCTTGCCCTGGATAGCTCTGGGAAGTCTGTCAAGCAGTGTGTAAGGTAATGTCAATAACATGGGTTCCAAGAGTTCCAGAAGTAATTCGGACAGTGGGACAGGCTGCCACTCAAACCCAGGAAGAACCACTCTTGAGCAATGCAAGCCAATACTGTTCAGGCAAGAAACCAAAACGGCTTGTGCAAAAGTAATCCTTCCTTTTGTCCAGAAAGAATGTACAAAGAAATAGAAAGGAAAAATTAAAGGTGCAGACTGTAGGATCATACTACTAATCTTTTCAAAGCCAGCAGCTTATTGTTTCATTTTTGCTCTAATAACCATGACAATGTTAAAAACAGAATTTTCTTCTTTATTCAAAGAAGCTATATGTGGGAACTGGCATTTAAGTTATACCAAAAAGTGGTCCAGAGTCAACGTTAGTTTACAATTAATGGAAACATTTCTACAGTTTAGCTGTTTCTTACAAAGACAGCAACAGTAAGAACATACTCCTTACCCTGACAACTTGCCGAGTACTTGTAATGAAGGCTTTTCTTATACTCAACTCGGTAGCATCAAGGTTGAATTTTCTAGGATTTGCTTCAACTATGCGTGGGTCAAAAAGTTAAGGTAAAGCCATTTCACCATCGAAAACCTAACAAACATTTTGTTAAACTGCAGAATCCCTCACATACAAGCAGAAAAACCCAGCCCAAGCCTTCTGTAAACAGTCATCTTGATGCTAAGCATTTTCAAACTTTCTCTGCTGATAGCTATACAAATGCCCTTCTGCTCCAGGATGACCTGCCAGATCAACCCCTGCTAATTGGGCTCACTGAAAATCCATGGCCATCTTGACCACATCTGGGCCTTGCTCCCAGCCAGCCTGTCTCTGTCCACCTCTTCCCACTGCCACTGTGTCCTCCATGCCGTGGTTTTGTGTGACCCCCAGAGCCTTCTTCTCTGCCCTTGGGACCCTAGAGTATCACCCCAGGGTCCCAGGTCCAGGCCCAGAGAGGCCCACTCGCCAGCGCCCAGCATGGCTGCTGGTGAGTATCGGGCAGAATCTTCTTGTTGCTTACCAACACTTTAACCCCTCCTTTTTTGACTTCTGATTTCTTTTCCCATGACAGCTTTTACAAGCCTTTCTCAATTTGGCATTCCAAACCACTTCCCCTTATGCTAAGATTCTAAACCTCCCTCTTAATCTAGCAGGATCAAGCCTTCAGGGAAGCTGCCCTTGACTCCTTGCCCTCCAGCCAGGTACAACTGCGTAAGGTCAGACACTGGGATAGCTCAGTACTTCTTTCTCATAGCCTGCCGTTATGTATTTGTGCTGTTATTTGATTAATATCTGTTTCACCGGCACTCTTAAGTTCCATGAGGGCTGGTACACTGGCTTACTTATTAATCCAATCTCAATAACCAATAAAATGCCTGGTCCATAGTATACTCAAGAAATGTTTCCTGAACTGGGGATGCAGCTCAGTGGTACAGCACTTGCCTAGGGCCCTGGATTCAATCCTCAGCACCTGCCAAAATAAAAGTTTGCTGAATGAATGACGAAAATCTTTCAAAACTTGTCCTCTTTATCTCACAATTTATCTCCCTCAATCTTTTTTCCTTTCCTTCTGTCTCAAGGAAAGAAGTATCTCCCTGTATCTATGGTTTTGATTCTGTCCCCTCCCATTTTATTTTAGGGAACACAGTTGACCCCTTTTTTTTTTTGTAGTTGTACACAATAACTTTTATTTATTTTTATGTGGTGCTGAGGATCGAACCCAGGGCCTTGCTCATGCGAGGCGAGCACTCTACCGCTGAGCCATAACCCCAGCCCCGATATTTGACTTTTAATAATTTAAATGGTATCCAGGGTCATTATTAAAGGAATCATGCACTGAACATTTTAACTACACATGAACCTGTGCTAACTAGTGAGTGATTTTTTACAAAAGCTGGTTTCCTTGATGTTTTTAATCTTGCTTAAAACTCAGAAATGCAACTAGCAGATCTTCTATCTAAAGTTTTCATAAACAGGATTTCCAATTGAAAAAAGCCACATAATTCAGCTTCTCCAGTTCTCTAGATTGTCAACCAGATCAGTGGACTTAATAAACATCAATAGTATTAAATGATATAACTAGTTCTGCATTTACTAAACACAATTTCATGGTACAAGATAACTCTCCAATGGATAGTGGCATTTTAACATCACTTCTTAAAAGGAAGAAGTCTAGAAGAAAATTTTCTTTTAATAACACTAGTATGTATATACCTCTCTGTAACAAGAACTACTAATACTTTTTTTTTTTTTACAATATTGGGGACTGAACCCAGGTTCCTGCATGCTAAGCAAGAACTCTTACCACTGACCTACACCTCCAGACCAACCACCAATACTGTCTAGATGCTTACTATGTGCCAGGCCCCATTCTAAGCTCTTTTCATGGGTAACCTTCTTGACAATCCTATGAGCTCGGTACTCTTGTTGTCCTTTCTACTGAAGAGAAAACTGAAGCACTGAGAAGTTTTACAACATGCCCAATGTGCCCAATGTTACTGTTTGTTAGTAACTGCTTGTGATACTGAAATATCATAAGTGTATACCTGGTCTCTGCTCCTGGTATACAGCTCCTAAAACACTTGGGATCTCTGGAGTAATAAAGGTCATTGTGTATGTTAATGAGGTGACTGATAACTGGGAGCTCCTAGATAACCTTGGGAAGAGGGCTGGTCACCAGGGAACAAACTGATCAGAGAGTAGGAGCTTTCAGCGCCATCTGTCCCCCACCATCTCTGGGAAGTGGAAAAGAGCTAAAGATTGAGTTGATCACCAATGATCAATAATGTAATCAATCATAATGTAATGAAGCTTCCACAAACTCCACACGGCCAGGATCTGGGAACTTCCAGGTAGCTAAACATGTGGAGATTCCTAGAGGGCAGTGCCTCTACACACTTCACCCTACAAATTTCTCCCACCTCACTATTCATCTATGTATTTTTAAATATCCTTTATAATAAATGGGTGAGCATAAAGTGTTTTCCTGAGTTCTGTGATCTGCTCTGGAAAATTAACTGAACCTCTGTGGAAGTGGGGATCGGAAGCACAGGTCAGAACCTGGGGCTTGTGGGTGGCACCTGAGGCAGGGATAGTCTTGGGGGCAGAACTCTTGATCTGTGGGATCTGATGCAGTCTGCAGGTAAACAGTGTCCGGGCTGAAGTGAAGTGCAGTAACCCTGCTGGTGTGTTCTGGTTCAGGGTGCTGGGAAAAACTCCCATCTGTGTGATGACAGAAACATTTTACTGACTGTGAAAGTGGAAAGAAAAAACTGTTTCCACTTTTACGCTGGTAGAGCCACAGCCTGAACACCCGCATCTCACTCCAGGGTCCAAAGTCACAACCACTGCACTATGCTGCCTTTATATTGCGGAATTTGTCATGTGCTGTAGAATAGGGCTGCTTACTTGGCTGACCGGGCAATTATTTTAAATGTGTCATACTACAAATAAGAGCCACACCAAGGATTATAACAGGAAACGTCTCATCGAGGTACTTGAAACATCTGGATAAAAACCTGCCCGTTTGTCGGTTCACTGCCAACAGCACAGACACCATAGAAAAGGATATTGATGGTCTCGTCAAGGTCCTCCAGATCCCACTCTATGCTCCGGAGGTTGTTTCTCAGCTCGTTGGTGGTCCAGTCGATCTCTTCCCTGGTTGCTGCAGAGGGGTCCTGCAGAAGCTCTGTCCATCTCTGAAACAATCCCTGGGCAGTGTTGACTGCTTTCTGTACCTCTCTGTAATCAAGATGAAGGGAAAGGAAAAGTCACAAACAAGTTCCCGGGTGTCTGAAGTTAGCATGGAGCACCAAAGGCCACCCTCGGCAACCACCATTCCCACAGAAGGAGGCTCTTCAGACGCAAATACCAAAGTTGAATCACACAAGCTCAGTATTATGTTCTCAGCTGATGCTCAGAATAAAATAGCCATTATTCAAGCAGCTACAATTCCAACTTGTTTGAGAGGGACACATTTAATTTTTCTCTGAAAAGATTACACTTAAAAGTCACACAAAGATGCAATCCTGCCAATAAACTAAAGGGTCACTAATATCCCCACTCGCTTCCATGTGGGTGACAGTAATTTATATTCAGATGAAAAAGTCCTTGTACAGGCTTTCTTCTCTTGGGGTAGGAAGCGGGGGAGGAGGGTCTCTCTTGATGGCTTGTATGGTAGAGGTTAACTATTTTAGTCTGAGACATTTTTAAACCAAAGATTTCATGAGAAGATTTCCAAATATTATTACCTTTAAATATATCTATTTTCCTGGATTAAGAAATGTTACATAACAGATTAGCATTTTTCTTATTTGGAGTGTGAGATGAGGCTAGTAAGTGCTATATCTATATCTAAATGCTTTTAGGTTAGATATCGTTGCAAGATTTAAGAACTATCCTCCCCATGGGCCAGTACCCACCATTTAAATGTTATATTCTAACACTACTGCATTAAAAACCAAAGAGAATCATTTTAGAATCTCATGGTTTCTCATGCACAATCATTATAATCTCATTGCTTCCCAACTAAGAGAACTGCTTTGATCCTCCCACAACTTCTCCACCAATTCCTCTGGAACAAACAGCACAAAAATGTGTTCTAGCTGATCAGGGTGTCTGTTGTCTATGACTTTACAACAGAATTTGCAGACATCCTCTTCCCTCTGACATTTCAAACACCGGAAAAATCAAAGCACTCATAAAAATAAAGAAAAGCATCTTATAATATTTAGGTCTATAGGGTACTTATGAAGCTGAAAGGCTGAACATTAAAGAAGAGCTAGTGGACCTGGACAGAGTAAATCAGTGCACCCACCAAGGAGGTCCACATCTAGTTCATGGGCTAGGCAGTCCTATCAACTGTTCCTCTCATGTCAGCCTTCAGACTTTCAGTACTAACGATAAACTCCATATAAGATAAAATGGGAGAGAATTAAGTAAGATGTAAATCTACTATCTTTACTCTTCATTAAAGTTTCTGGTCAGTTTGGTAGAAAATGAGGATGGTATCCTATATGTAAAGTAGTTGGCTTATTTTTAAGTATTTAGTATTATCTATGATAATGAAAAACAAAGAGTTAAAAAGTATCTATAAAGACATCTCATTTTAAAGAATATAAAATTTCTCCATTCTGTAAATATGAATTCCTTTTTAAGAACTAAAAGCCTCAAACCTAGAAACCTTGCTGGGCGTCCCATACTCTCCACAACAGCAGGCAATTTATGACAATGCTGGAATTAAACTCCAATCGCAGTGTCCTGAGGCTTGGCCCTGATGCTCATCAGCACTCACAGGTTCAAAGCACTTCCTTTAGGCTGATGACTATCTGACCACATTTCTAACCCTAACCCCTCACCCAGGATTAATTCCTGTATTTCCATTCCATTAGGAACATTCTATTTGTCTTAAATCAAACTAATCACAGCCTGCCTACAAAAAAAAATCAGGTATTTAAACAAGCAAACAAAGCCAAAATTAAAAACAAGAGGGAAATCTGCTTCTCTTTCTACCAGTACCATTTCCCAAATCCCAAAACTCATCTAGACCAGAGCTGCTTTGCCTCCTCCTTTCACTTCTCACCTTGCACAACCTCCACTTGAGTTCAATCACTAGATTTTTAGATCTGGAAGGAACTTTCAAGATAATCTAGTCTGGACTCACTGAACAAATAAGAGAGCTGGGGCTCAGACAGCTTGGCTGCTTGCCTCAAGTTCTTCTGACCCTGAGTGTGAGACACATTCCACTATTAAGGCCTATTTAATCCCATTTTGCAAAGCCTCCAGACAAATCTATTTTCTTTGTGGAATCAGAGGATCTGGGTCTGAGTCCTTGAAAGGAGCCTGTAAGCCAAACACCTGCCTCCAGCAGGGCAGAGCTGTGAACGCTTGGGATTCTGAGTCAGCTGCCAGGTCTTCCATCCCTTCCTTGCTCACTGTGGCTCTGGCCTGCTTGGATGCGTCCCCAGCCTAGGAAAGCAAATGAAAAGCAGAAAGTCCCTTAAAGGCCCAGTTTGAGGCCTAATTCCTTTATTAAGGTATCTTTCCCCAACATTCCCACTGTGGGCCCTTCCTTTTTTCAACTATTCCAGAATCTTGCACACAATGTATCTTTCACATATCCTGGCACAGCGTTCTCCGAACTGGACTACTTATTATAGTAAGTGCCTGAAAAGTTGTTTCGACAATAAAACATCTGATTCTATTGGACCAATTCTGTCAATACAAGTTTTCTTAACAGTGAATGAAATGCACGATGCTTGCCCTCATGTGGCTTATAATTCAGCATTAGGAAAGCAAGATATTCAGAAAAGAGAGACAATACAACATACACCATCTTCCTTAACTGCTCATTTACATCATTATTTCAACACCAGTCCACAGCTAAGAACCCAGAAACAATACTGTTCTTGTCAGGAACACAAAATCCCCAAAGCAGAAAAATGTCAAGGAGCCACACAACCATGATTTTTCCTTCTTTTTAAATATTTCTAGTTGTAGATGGACACAACACCTATATTTTATTTATTTATTTATATGCGGTGCTGAGGATCAAACCCAGTGCCTCACAATTGCAAAGTAAGCTCTACCACTGAGTCACCACCCCAGCCCACATCAGTGCCTTTTACCAAAAGGACAGACTCACTAGGCATAACACACAGTCATGTACCCATACGATACTCTGGATTAAGAACAGATGGCACATGTGACAGTGGTCCTGCAATCATGGCCTCGTGATGTCACAGACACCTTGGTTTACTGAAGTACATCTATGATGTCTGCACGACAGTGAGCCATTTCTCAGAATGTATCCCCTTTGTGAAGCAACTCGTGGCTTAACTCTTGTATCTGAACAAGCTCAATTATGTGGTTTTTCTTAGTGGCTTGTTATTAGAAATTGCAAATTCTCAAAGGCTAAATGTTAAAAAGTTACAAGACCAAAAACTCATCAAACACTGAATAGTTCTTACTGAACATAAGGACTCTTAGTGAACATAAAGATGAAAACAAAATTCAAATATGGTATTTTTCACTCATCAGTTTCTTTAAAAAGAAAATTTTAAGTACAGATTTACTAAAAATGAGAATCTGGGGCTGGGGTTGTGGCTCAGAGGTAGAGCGCTTGCCTAGCATGTGTGAGGCACTGGGTTCAATCCTCAGCACCACATAAAAATAAAATAAGAGTATTCTGTCCACTAAAATAAATATTTTAAAAAAATGACAACCTTGTACTGGCAAAGAATTAAGAGAAATAGTCCCCTTTAACAGTATGAGGGGGAAGGGAGGGTGTGTTTCAGATGGCAATTTGGTGATATGCATCTAAAGTTTTGTTCTGTATACCCTCTGAATGAGCAATTATACTCTAGGAAAATAGATTATGAAAATAATCAGAAGCAGCAATAAAGACCTATAACAAATGGATCACCACCATATTAATTGTTAATAATGAAAAATTAGAAGCAAAAATGTCCATACTAAGAGATAAATTATATTTATGTCAAAATATAACACAGTAGTTAAAAGTCCCCTCCAAGATTGTCTAAGGATATAAAGAAATACAAATGAAAAGATCATGAAGTGATATATAATGTATAATCCCAATTTCTAAACTATTAGTAACACACACACACACACACACACAACATATCCTAGCCTTTCTACTTAAACTCTTATAAACTTGAAGAAGTTATTTATTTTTTTTACTAAGTGTAACTTTCCCCATTATAAAATGATAATAGTAGTGGTACCCATATCATAAGGATGATAAAGCAATACTGACTTAAGAATGGAGCTCAATAGTAGAGTACATACCTGGCATGTGTGATTTCCAGACACCATACATATACACATACACACACACACACACACACACACACACACACACACACACA